GACGAAACAACTCATAATATTCTTTCCGTTTGTGATGCCGTGGATGTTAGTATATATAGGGAAGCTGTTTCACAAGAAAGTCCAAACAGTAGCTTCATCGGCTTTTTACATAAGCAGTTGACCGCATCAGGTTTAGACTTGGTGGGTGATTTACACCAATCCTATTGTTCGAATGATTCTAAACTAGTTTGGGAACAAAACGTGGACGAAACAGCACGTGAAACTTATTTCGCCCAACTCAATGAAAACGATGGACTAGAAGGTATAGAAGAATTGTTGGAGGAATCGCGGGAAGGTGGGGAGTCGCCCACACAATTTGACAAGAACGAAAGCATAATTGATCAAGGTAATGCTGACGTGCTTTTGAATTCATCCAGTCATACGCAACCTCCTACAAGCGTCATCTGTAAGAAACGTCGCTCCAATTTTCCAATGGAACGGCCCCCCTCACGACTTCGCATTGAAAATGAAGCAAATATGCAGTGGATGAAACCTGCCGAAACTAGTCAATACACTCACTCCCAGGCATCTCATTCTCAATTGAATCCAAATACTAGATCACAAAGCACGATACTGCTCGCTTCACAACTAGTATTAGAAAACCAATCAATTACAAATGGAATCGAACTTGTTGGTATTGCAAACTCCCAAACTGCCGAAGATGACCAAACTTTGGTAATTGATATAAATAACCAGTCCCAGGGATTCGGCTCTCAATTGTTGGAAGAATCGCTCAATTTTTTGGACCCGGTTATGTTTCCAAACGAAAATACGGAGAATTATAAACTAGACGTATCTGTTAATAGATCTCCATCACTTCTTCGTGAAAATCGAGATATTTCCCCTCACGAATCTTTTAACATAGTAAATGTTGTGCTGAATTTTGATGCGAGTAGAAGCAGCACGCCTAGACACCATTCAATTGACAATCACGAACTACTCAATCGAACTGATGCAACTATGGAGATTATAAATTTACCATTGCAAGAAACCAGTTTACGCGATGGTAATTTGAACATACTCACCGGCAAAAACTCGCCATTATCGACCGGTTCAAATGAAAATCTTACCGACCCACAGAAACGAATAAAAAGTGCCCTGAATCGTATAACCATGGATAAGGATAATATCCGGAAATCCTTTTCCCTAAAAACCTTCTCTTACATGGGGTTGAAGGGTATCAACATACCGTGACGAGGATAAAGGGCCTTGTTAATTTGTTGGAAAAATTCTCATCGGCCAGCTTTTTGAAAATCGTATCTTTTTCTACAACCAGTATACAGTGCGCATCGCTTTCTATTTTTGTTACTGATATTAACTTTTGCGGAATGAGCAGTCCTAGTAAAAGGCACCTGTTTGTTAATGCAATAAGCAATCACTTAGCTGTTTACCTCCTGCGACGTTAAAATTTATAACTTCCCCTGCTGACGTGTAAACTGTAAGCGCACCAAGTGCTAAGCCCTTACTAGTAGACATAATCGGAAGATACCAATGCTCTATTTCCAAAAAGCAGCTTATAATGTTCACGGCGTCTTCGATCTCACGTTGGCATTGCATATATTCCTTTAAACAATAGTAAATTTCTCTGCAAAGGACAAAAATAGTGGTAACTAACGGTTGGCAATTGTTACCTTATAGTGCATTCAGAACCACGTATACATAAGGCATACATTCTTGCAAGAAGGTACACTATGATGTTGAATCGCCTTCTAGGTCTGGACCAAGTACACATCTGTTGAAAGATGCACTTATCAAATTTCTTCAACTCCACTCTAAAAGCAAATGTTCAGTTGAAGCCTATTGCGCTCCGGGAAAAGTGCTCGTGAGCAAAAAAAACGGTCAAGAGCGAAAAAGCGCTCGGGAGCAGAAAAAACGCTCGCGAGCGCCAAGCACTTTGAGTAAACGCTCGATTATCGAGCACCAACAGCGGCCGCTCCGAAAAGTGCTCGCGAGCGCTTTTTCTGTTTGGAGCGCTTTTCCGAGCGAAACGCTCGCGAGCAGCGTACCCAGCTCTGGTTACGTGGTATGTTCACAATTAAACTTCCATTGCCAACTATGCTGCTGGTTTATTGGAGCGCGCTATATCAATAAACATATAAGAATTTTAAAAAAAAACTTACATTCCATTCTCATATGTGCAGTTTCCTAAATTACATAGTTGAACATTCATCATGAACGGCTTTTTATTGACAGCTTTTACCAGCATCTTGTAAAAAAAATTTTCTACTTCTTGTATTAGTCTCTGATTCTTCTCTTCAATTTTTTCGCCGTACAGGCCTCTCGGACCTTTGTACACCAACTCCTTATCCATGGTTATACGATTCAGGGCACTTCTTATTCGTTTCTGTGGGTCGGTAAGATTTTCATTTGAACCGGTCGATAATGGCGAGTTTTTGCCGGTGAGTATGTTCAAATTACCATCGCGTAAACTGGTTTCTTGCAATGGTAAATTTATAATCTCCATAGTTGCATCAGTTCGATTGAGTAGTTCGTGATTGTCAATTGAATGGTGTCTAGGCGTGCTGCTTCTACTCGCATCAAAATTCAGCACAACATTTACTATGTTAAAAGATTCGTGAGGGGAAATATCTCGATTTTCACGAAGAAGTGATGGAGATCTATTAACAGATACGTCTAGTTTATAATTCTCCGTATTTTCGTTTGGAAACATAACCGGGTCCAAAAAATTGAGCGATTCTTCCAACAATTGAGAGCCGAATCCCTGGGACTGGTTATTTATATCAATTACCAAAGTTTGGTCATCTTCGGCAGTTTGGGAGTTTGCAATACCAACAAGTTCGATTCCATTTGTAATTGATTGGTTTTCTAATACTAGTTGTGAAGCGAGCAGTATCGTGCTTTGTGATCTAGTATTTGGATTCAATTGAGAATGAGATGCCTGGGAGTGAGTGTATTGACTAGTTTCGGCAGGTTTCATCCACTGCATATTTGCTTCATTTTCAATGCGAAGTCGTGAGGGGGGCCGTTCCATTGGAAAATTGGAGCGACGTTTCTTACAGATGACGCTTGTAGGAGGTTGCGTATGACTGGATGAATTCAAAAGCACGTCAGCATTACCTTGATCAATTATGCTTTCGTTCTTGTCAAATTGTGTGGGCGACCCCCCACCTTCCCGCGATTCCTCCAACAATTCTTCTATACCTTCTAGTCCATCGTTTTCATTGAGTTGGGCGAAATAAGTTTCACGTGCTGTTTCGTCCACGTTTTGTTCCCAAACTAGTTTAGAATCATTCGAACAATAGGATTGGTGTAAATCACCCACCAAGTCTAAACCTGATGCGGTCAACTGCTTATGTAAAAAGCCGATGAAGCTATTGTTTGGACTTTCTTGTGAAACAGCTTCCCTATATATACTAACATCCACGGCATCACGAACGGAAAGAATATTATGAGTTGTTTCGTCCAAATTCTGTTGGCAAAGGACGAGCTTTGAGGCATTTGATTGAAAAGAAAGTTGTAAATTTTCCACTAAAGTTGAGTCTTGTGGAATACGTGTTAGGTCATAGTAATTGCTAGCGTCCTTTGGATCCACTAGTGAAATAACTTCGTGGCTTTCGTTGGGACTAAAACAGTTTCGGGTTTCGTTCATATATATAAGAGAAGATATATGGTTTCGTTAGCGTCTGTGCTGCTAACAAATGTCAATGAGAGCTCTAGAGTTTCATTTCTTGAACTACACAGTGAATTACTGAGCACTAAATCAGAACCCATTGTACCATCTAAGCTGTTTACTGACTCCTTATCGTCTTCTCGTTCTTCCGCATCCGTACACAACTGATCCACCATAATCATGTTGAGAAACTTTCGCTGATCTGATGGGTGCCACTAAGTTGAAACCTGTAACGTATATATTCATTCAAACAAGGTTGATGGTAGTAAAGCCAGCATTATTGCTAACCTTCTTATTAGCGTAGCTACGAATAAGTCGGTTAAATGAGCAAATATAAAACATTACAAAAACTTGATTGGATAAAGATATTGCTGTGTGCAATCGAATGCGGTCACTACACCATCCACAGACCATCTGTCCAACTGGCTCAAAAAATATCAAAATTGAAACTTAAAATTTTAGAACCTCTCCTCGCACACATCCGGCATCTGCCAGAATAAAGAATTCCAATATTGACTTAAAATTTCTCAAATCGAAAGACTATAGACACCTGCAAAAAATCTTGGACACGAATAAAAAATCTGACATGAAAACTCTCTCTGGGTCGCACAAAGGATTCGAATAAACACACAATGACACAAATTTATTCCGAAACACATGAAACAATTAAAACAAAATTTCTGCAAGAAAGGGAAACTTACAAAACTTGTTTAGATATAATACACCGCACTTAGGCGGTCGATAATAAAAATTAAAAAATAAATTGTTTACAGTTCTTTTCCGTTTTAAAAACTTTCCACAAATTTTTACTACTTCACTTGACGTTCGCATAAATTTTTTATTAGGATTGCTCAACTTCTTCTGCACACTTTATTTTGAAATCGACGTACTGCGTCTTCAACAAACGAATAGGACTCACTGCCCGAGATTTAGCGTAAACAAATTTACACACAATTTACAAAAGCGATAAAATTTAAACAAAAAAATTACGCAATTATAAACAATTGTAAAAGGAAAAATAGACACCGAGTCAAACAATTTCAAATAAAATATACCAATTTTGTGTTTATTCGCAAAACTCCCAGATTTACTTAATAAATTGAAATATTCTCATATACAGGGCCTCCCGTCATTATTTTTGGTGTTTAGACCGAAATAACGTTGTTTATATAACACTATCTAGCTTTGAATTTGTTAAAAAAACTACAATTCATTACACGAATGAATCGTTTCGCAATCAACGCGGTCCATATTCAAAACTAAAATTCGGCAATGCAGTAATGGGCGTATATGCACCGAAACATTTAAGCTTAACTTAAGCCTAGCTTAAAATCATTGGCAACCATTGTCCCAATACAGGGTGTTTTTTTTTGGGAGCTTTAGTTAAACGTTTCTGGGAACGTAGGTTTTTGAAAATTTGTACTTAGGAGTTACTCTGAAGGCCGAATCTATGTAAAATATTTTCAAAATGTCAGCACTTCCGGAAACACCGGAAGTAGATAGTAATTCCGTTATTTTAAATGGCAACCCCTATTTTTTTATTGCATTTTTGGATTCTACGTGAAATTTCAGTTCTTTTGATACCCATATGTCGATATCTGCCATTTATGGTTTTTAAGTTATTTTGACTTTAAGATAAAAAATGGCGGATGCAGATGGTACCTTGATAATTGATTACTTGAAAAAGGTTATAGTCATGGCAACCCATTTTTATCAGTGCATAAAGAATGAATAGGGCTTTCTTTTAGTGTACTTAAAAAAAAGTTAAGTGGCGTACAACCGCACCTATGGAGATCCAAATTTAAGAAACTTCAAAGTCTATAAACTCAGTTTTTTTAAATGGAATGACCATGTTCTTACTATTCCATGAGATAGAGAATCGAAATGGGAATATTTTGACAATATGTTCCTATAGCTATCTTTAACAGTTTCTGACTTATTCCCATTTTATTGAATTGACACTATTTTTTTCGGATTTTCTTTTTAGTAGTCGGCCATGATTGTATAAAAATCGAATTTTAAACAAATCTAGTGACACCAATCCGTCATCTGTTATAGGTTAACATAAGTTTAAATAGGGGTTGCCATTTAAAATAACGAAGTTACTATCTACTTCCGGTGTTTCCGGAAGTGCGGCCATTTTGAAAATATTTTACATCGATTCGGCCTTCAGAGTAACTCCTAAGTACAAATTTTCAAAAATCTACCTATTTTACTTTCCCAAAAAATTTTTAACTAAAGCTCCCAAAAAAACAACCGTGTATACGTTACCATGGAGCTGCACTTAAACTACTTTTTCGGTACATACGGTCATAAGAAACTCATTAATGTATGACAAGTTGTCTATAAGTCAGAGATGCGCGTTACACAATGTTTCAAAAAGTGAAGGCAATGCAAGTGAGGTATCCACTTTATTTCAAATGTGTCGAAATAACCTTAGCTTAGATCATATATATGTTAATACATATGATCTAAGGAAATAACACATAAAATGTCCTATAATTATGCCATTATTAAAAAAGATTGAAGAAGAGAAACATTTTTATTCCATAAAGCGGCAAATGAAAAATGGTAAAAAATATTATGATTATGTAATCAAAACGTATGTGTTACATACCTATACATAAAATGCAAGAGTTAGAAAAGTAGCACTTTGTGTTATTACCTCTGTGACAGCATCTAGCACTACAAAAACCGCATTATTACATTAGGTACTGAGAGGTTCCACCCTGTATACACAACTTACGACGATACATACATTTTTGAGAGTTGGCAACAATGCAATTTCTATGCGGGGAAAAGCTGTCCGCGCCATCTAGAAAGCACGGACGGGGGTTACGTTGGGCACAATGAATAAAGAATACTTATTCATTGGTTGGGCATCTTGTCTTTGAATGGCGGTCGTGAAAGCGTCGCTCCATAAATGTTTGTTGTTATTTTGTGTTATTTAATGCAGGTAGCAATTTTTGCATTTCTTTATTTATTTGTGTTTTGTATGCCGCATTTTATACTTTTTGTGTGTTTCAATATTTGTTTTTGAAATTTACTTGTTTGAACCGCAATGCAGAATGCCATGTTTAATACCGTTATCCTACTGTTTGTAATCGTTTACGTTTTTGGTGTAATGTTTGTTTAATTTATGTTTGTGTTAATTACTTGGTCTTGTCCAGAAGTTATAGTCATATAAATTTTGGTCATTTTATTTTAATATGTGGAAATTACCGATTCGTTTGATATGTATGTACTGACTTGCTACGACACCTAATTCCGTGATTGTCTTCGACTTTCAACTGTAGGCTCAAAACCCCGGAGCCAGGGGCGGGTTACCTATCTTGCAGGAGCGGTATTACGCTAATCAAAGCTCTTCAGTTTAGAATCTATGTGCGATAAATGAGTGGCGATTCAATAATTTCCACATATCTTGTTTTAATTTTGCCTACAAGGCCATGCAATTTTCCATCTTGCTTTTAACAAAAGGACTTTATTGGACAAAAATGAGTCACATCCTGTGTATTTCACCCTTTCTTTGGATCTTGTTACCTGCTTACCTGACCCATAATTCCCAAAACTAGTTTTTAAACTAAATGTTACCTCTTAAAGTCTACACGCCACTTTTTGTGATGTTATAATTTTATGTTACGCATTCACGTCAATAAAAAAAATTAATTTTACTACACAATTTAATATTAACTTGACGGCTGGTTTTTTTTATTGGTAGGTTCTTTTTTCCAGCCTATTTCTATTTTTATTCGGTGAACTATCATTTTCAAAGTTTATTTTTGCAATGTAATTTATTTTGACTTAAATTTCCGAGCTTTTACAATCAATAATGATCATTATTAAACAAACTTTTCACAATTTGAGTGTTTTATTTTACGTTCCTTCCCTACTGTGCTTCAGGTCAAAGCGTTGTTTACAACTAACGCAAGGGGGCCCTGCCTTAGATGTTTGATCACGTGCCACTTTTCAAATTTAAACGGGATCTTGTTTAGTTTTGGAGGGAATAGTTATTCGGGTGGCCATTTTTAAACGTTCCCGAGTTGACTTTATTTCTTGTAGTGTGAAGTTAGCGTAGAACCTGGGGTTACGTACACTACAGTACTACCAAAGACTATCCTCCTCCATAGTCTTTGGTACTACTATTATACCATAACTAATAACATTATTTCCATCACTATTTTAATACAAGTTTGAATGTATAGGTCATTAGATAATTCAACATTCGCGTAGTGAGATTTTTATTGGTAAAGAAAATTTTAAAATCTCATTTACACAACAAGCGTTACACGCATGTTCGCACCAAGCCACTAACCAAGTTAGTGACGAACCGTCCTTACTTTGTAATGAACTTTTTAAATCAATGTGAAATGGCGCTTGTGTTTGCTTTTAAATTCAAAAATCGCCCAATCAAGTTCAGTTTAATTCAGTGCGCACTAGTGCCAATCTAAAAATATTAAATGACGTGCCTAAACGCGTATTTTTAAAGAAGACATAGCCACAGATATACGTAAAATATCTGTGACATAGCTATGTTCGCTTTCAAGAAAAACTCACTGTATATTTATACAGTATATCTACAATGTCCCAGGTGGAAAAGTACCCTATAGGGAAACGGCAATGTATTTTTTTCGCGAAGGATCCAAACGTAAAAATTTTACCCGAAAAGACAAAATGGTGGTGCTAGGAAAAATTGCCCCCTCACCCTATTGGGGGAAGGGGGGGGGTGACGCTAGCTCTAAAATTTGTGGCGCCAGCTGGCACTAGGTGTGACGAACACAGCGCTAGCTTTTGGAAGTGATTGGAAATGATGGTGGTGCTAGCGTTAACATAGCAGCCCCCCGAACGTCAAGGGCTTTTCTGCAAAATCTATAATGGCGCTGGCTGAACTCAAAGTGGCGCTAGCTATAGAGATTCTAGCGCAATCTGTCTTTAGGTTTAGTCAGAAATTTGAAATGGTGGTGCTAAGTTAACGGACCCTCGAATACATATCAAAGGCCGCGTGGATCCTTCGTGAAAAGATTACCAATGGTGCGTTATACCATTGAATAAAAACACTATAAGAAGCCTAACGCTTATGGAAGAAAGCGCGACAAATCCCCTTGCACCCGCATTGGTTGTGATCTCCGAACTCTCATTGCGGTAAATAGGAGGAAAGCAAATTCTCATTCTTCTCAGTTCAAGAATCGACACTATTGACAGTGTTTCCATTATATTCTCAGTTCAATCTCTGTCGCGCTTTATTTCCACGGGGTTAGGCTTCTTATAGTGTTTTTATTCAATGGTTATACCATAGACCATTGGTCTATGGTTATACCTGGGAGTACTGGTCTATGGTTATACCTGGGAGTCTGGACATACGGTATGTATTTAAAAACCGGATTCGTATGAATTCTAGATTGTACCCAAATAGGTACTGTTTTTGAACTTTGTTCATTGAATTGAGTACTTTTGAAGCAAAATTCGTTTACATAAATTGGTGGTGTAGGCATAGAAAGATCAAAGACGTAAGTGATAGTGATACGATGAATTTTTTCCGCATTTAAACAAAAACATAATTTAGCACTTACCCCAACACTTGACAACAAGAATTAACAATGGTACTTCGATAGTGACAGGTGTTTAAATCAGAGATATAGATGGGGGGAGATTGCGTGTCAACATGCGCAATAGTCAGATTATGAATGTCGCCATCTTCTAAGTATATGCTACGGGGGCTTGTTAAAAACTGCATACAATGTGGTTTCAAAAAGTTCCTGTGCGTTTCCTTACACGTTGAACAAGTATATTGTGTTGCCTATATCACAATGCATCGATACATTCCCTAGTTGTGAAACTACCTACAATGCTAATAATTAGTCCAAGAACTAAAGCGTCAAGACCACAAACAACGTCATACGTTCGCTAATTGGGTTCTTGAGAAGTTGGAAACTGGTTTAAATTTTAGCGATAGAACAATTTTCATTGACAACACATTTTTGGCCCAACGGCTTCGTAAAGGAGCACAATTGTCGAATTTGGAACGAGAATTATCCATAAGAGTCCGCATTCCAGCCAGAGAAACTCACCATTTGATGTGGGTTTTTGTCGGGAAGTGAGAATAGTCAGAAGGTGACTGTCAATGGCAAGCAGTGTTGGGTAACGGTTTTTTTTGTGGTCTGAATTACATATGGACCTTGATGAAATGGATTGGTCGCAAAGGTCTTGCAATTTTACGCCCCTACTTTTTTCACTGGGGGTACATCAAATCGAAAGTTTACTACAATAAGCCAGCAATTGCTCAATTAGAGACTTGAACCATAAACAGAATCCAGAGTAACTTGTGTCATCGAGTTATGCAAAACTGGATCTCAAGGATTGAGCCCTGTAGGAGTGGTAGAGGCCATTTGAATGATGTTATTTTCTAAGCTGCAATAAATATTTTTCTTCACACTGCTTCTTATTTTTATTTTAAAGGATCGAACACTTAATGAAAGACCGACCCTTTGAAAATTATATTTTATTGGTGGTTAAACAGTATCAATTTGTTTAGTTCTCTTCGAACTGCAGAACCTTGTATTTTTTCTGTGTACTTTTTCGCCAAATTAAAAAACCTTATTCTACAATATGAAAAAATAATATTTTTGATAAGCAAAAATCCGTGATTCTCGTCACAAATATTAAATTCTAAAAAATGCTCATGCAAACTAGGAAATAACGTGTACAGTTCTTGGTAAAATTTTTGTGCAATGGCGGTGACAAAATATTCCATGAAACCTTTTTCATTTGGAATTTTGTTTCCAGTTGAATGCATGATATTTCTAATTGCCACCTCTACTTTTGTGCAAATTTTCACCACTGCAATTGATGGTACATATAAGCCTCCTGCAATTTAAAGAAATATTAGTTAGTTAAATAAGGACTTTTCAACAATCTAACTATACCTCTGTTTTTAAAGGAAATTAGAGAATAGGAACCTTCTCTAATGTCTTCCTGCGATTCACATGCCAGCACACATTCTTCACATTTATGTCGACTTTGTAACATCTTAATTACATATCCACTTATATAAGTGACAACATTTGATAAGATTTCACTTAATTCAATTGTTTCACTGCACACATAATCATGATCGAGTATTTGTTCTTTTGGCTCAAGAGCATAATTATATTTTCGGTACAATGATACATCTAATGATTGTTCCAAATGTGTGGCAGTGCTTGGTACGCTAAGAACAGTGGTGGCGTCTAATACTTTACAATTCCCGGATCCCTGGTCAATTTTGGTGTGGAGCAATAATCTCCTCATTGTTCGCATAAATTGTAAGCAAGATGGGTTATTGTTCCATCCATTTTTACTTCTGGAAAATGATTCAAATTAAACATGAAGTATTACTTTCCAGGATTAATACTTGCCTTATTGAGCAAAAAAATATTTCTAAGTGATCCTGTGATACCTTGTATGTTAAAAAGTATTTAAGTTTTTCTACTTTTACCAAGGAATCATAAATTCCACAAACGGAAAATGAGGTAATTGCAAACCCCAGGAAAGGCGTTTTTTTAGGAGTCATATGTAAAGGTCTGCCTCCAACATCCGTACACCTTAATAAGTAATGAACTGTATTTAAAATAAACGGTCTCCAAACAGCTTCATTACATAATCTTAGGGGAGCCTTAAACCCTGATGCTCGGGGACTCCTGGAGTTTAACAAATCGAAAAGATCATTAATTTTTCTAATGAAGTCAACGGTGGCTTCGCTCCCTTTAAACTCTTCCAGATGATGAGTGTTCAAATATTCGATGGCATCTGCCACACTCCTACTTAATGTTTGTGCTGCTAAATGCACCTAAAATAATTAATATAGATTTAAATTTCACATAACATAGAACATAGTGCTTACTTTCATTTTTTGTCTGTACCATTCCATGTGGGCACGTTTTAATTTATTCGCAACATGTAATCCCTCTGCTTCTTGTAATTTATACAATTCCTTGACATACACCCACCTTACAAGATCTCCATCAGGATTTTTAATCGTGTCTAAGTTTGACCAATTATTTCTGATCAATTTCAGCATATGACATGCATCTAATACACAATATACTTTTTTATTAGTTGCAGAAGGATGACTAAACCAGGTTTTCATGTCAAACACATTATCTAGATTGCAACCTAACTCCTTGAACATAGCGAAATTTGTGGTTGGTCCATCGCATGTAATTGATGGTACATCAACTCCTACGTTGTGTAACCTAATTAAAGTTTCATTTACTATGTTAGCTTTTTGCTTTGCTGACAAAGAGGCAATAAAGAAGTATGCCACGGGTAATTTCCAATGACCTGTGAGGCATACGACCATCAAAACTAAAGCTTCAGTGGCGGGTGTAAGATCGTCATTTTCAGTGGGTACCCCAATATTGACGTAGCCCCAAGCCCGTGTACCATCAACATCCAATTGCTTCTTGATGGAAATTTCGTCTAATATTAGGGAACAAAGTAGATCATGATTTTTCTGCCGCAACTCTTCAACTTTTAATTTCAATGCATCAAATGCTGGTGTAAGAAATCCTGGCTCGCAATTTACATTTTGATACCATTTTCTGATGGTGGCTTGATGAGGTAAAGCCAATGCAAACTCATTTCGAACTGCTTCATATGCCTTCATAGAGTAAAATTGTAGTGTTGCAGCAAAGCGTCTGAGAATAGATGGATAACTTTCATGGGTTACAGTTTTGTTTGTAATATTCTTCAAATATCGTTGCATCAATAAATGGGGTACACTATCATATGTTTTTTCCACATTTTCTACAGCATCTTCTGATAAAAATTGAGTATTCTTAACAAAAGTCATAACGGATTTCATATTAAATATGGTTTTCTGCAGAGATGTTATTTTTTTCTTGGAATCATAAAATTTTTGTCTCATTACTGCATGTTTCCTCTTAGCTTGCACATATTTTTTTTTCAAACTCCTTGGCGACAAGCTACAAAATGTCAAATAAGTCATCGATATATTTGTATACCTTGTAAGGTATGAAAATTAGACAAGTAACAGATGTAAAGAGTCAAGCAGCTTGAATAAATTGAAAGAGAAGCATGCCATACAAATAGTTTATGCAATGATTACCTATAACTGTGGAAGAATTTTATACGCTGTGCTGTTCTTCTTCGCTTTTTACTACTGTCGGTGCTAGTACTACCACTTGTTGATAAATCACTGAAAAAAATTGGCAGTTATAAATTGAGGTACGTATAAAAAAGTGTAGGTGTGCACAAATTGGTTGGAAACTGAGACTTGAACTATACGAATGCTACCCCATGTTTAACATATTCCCAATAATCTTCAACAACTTTTAGCCTTCCCCGAGCCCTTCCCTTAAATTCATGTTCTGGTTTCCGTGCCCAATTAATGGCCGTTTGCACCGATAAATTTAAGCGGAGCTTAGCTTACAATCCATGGCAACCATTGTCTCAATAATCGTTGCCATGGATTTTAAGCTACGTTTAAGTTAAGCTCCACTTAAATTTATCGGTGCAAACGGTCATAAGTGATGTACAGTTGTTTTGTTTGTGACATTACGTTATATTGATTTTCCTTTTCTGTGGTGCAGTTGCGTCAAAGATTGGTGTTACATTAGAGCTTGATGTAGATGCATAGCTGAAAAAATTGTTATTAAATACATATCGTATAATATTCAGCTTACCTTGTGTCTATTTGCCGTGGGACTGGGTGCATTCCATGTGTATCGGATACAACAATTGGCGTTTCAGTGGTTTCAGTTGAAGTATAATGTGAAACGATATTTGACATACCCAATTGTATTGATGGAATAGCATTTGGTTGTAAGGATCTTCTTACTCCACCACCGTACTTATAGTATACAAAAGCACTTGCTTCAAAGTGTTCTGAACAAACCACTTTATTTCTTGGCCATTTCCAATTTTCATCTGTTTTTCCAAGTAGTGTTAACCACACTTTTCGTAGTTCACCTTTAGGGAAACTGAAAGAATACAAATTTTGATTTATAATGTATAAATGCTGCATTTACTTAACTGAAACGCTTCGGCGGCGATTGGTCTTGGGAGGGTGGGCCTCGGCCAGCTAGTATACTTATCTAAAGACATCACAGGATCAGACAATAGTGATACGAGTCGGCAGGTGGAATGGGGCCAATGTGGTGAATATGAACCTGCATGAAGCGAATAGAAGTCTGGGTGAAGTTTCCGAATGGTGCGTGGTTGTGTTTACATATGGTAATTGCACACAATAATGGTTTAATAAAATTTTAACCCTATTTCCGAGTTATAGGTTATGAAATTTGAAATTGGCGCTACTTAAAAGTAGGCGGAGAGAAGTAAATATTTACTTGGGGAGTTTGCGCATAAATACAGAGTTGAGGACTAAGGAATAGGGCAGCTCTCTTTTATGGCGAACAATTTGCACATTGCAATCATAGGCGGTTATCCATATACCACAGAATACGGCCTTCTCAGAATAGAAACAGCAATGTTACAAATTTGTATGCATAGATATACATAGCGATCAAAAATGAGTGACCGTCTAGTCACTTTTGGAATTTTTGTTTACATGGGAAATCCTACTTAACTTGAACTTTCAAAGGCGACTCGACAGTCACTCATTCTTGATCGCCCGTTATAAATACCTAGATACAGCCATCCTTAACAAACGTACCTCGGTTTTTAAAAAACATATCAAAGAAATTTGTACATCTCTCCATTACTTTCTAACCAAGAAGAAACATGTTCTATCTCTTTTTATTGCATTAACCACTATGTCGTACGCGAATCGGACGCTTAAAACAAACTTAGCGCGTCCCATAAGTCATGTGACAGTTGACACATTTCACGATTGCGCGAAATCAAATCTAACTAAAAATATTCGCCCTAAACATGATGGGCGGTTTTTTCACTAAATATTATGTGATTATTGCGTTATCAATTGAATACGAATAACATTAGTGCTTGCCATAATGATAGACGCGTCCATAATTGTTATTCCTGAAATAGTTTTATTACATAGAGCTACGCCATTCAAATTTGGGACTATGTTTACCTTGTTTGGCATGATGTGCTGCAGTGAATTCATTGCTGGCTTGCAGAATATCAAAAAAAACCGTAAGTAAGTAAAGTTTATGTTCAACAATTTAATTTTAATTGCATGGTTGTAGGCGTAATGGTTACGGAGATTAAGTTGCGACAGGAAGTGAATTCGTTTCCAATTATCATTTTGGCCTATATGATGTTGATGCAGTGCGTTTGTATCATGATCACAAAGAAGGATCCGTGCAATATTCTTAGGAAAACGAGATTTATAGACTGTGTGTGCGTGCAATATCAAATTTTGGTCGCTACGCGTCTTGCCTACCTTTCGGCATATGTCCAATCGGTGGGGTTTCTTTTTGAAATTATAGTGCTAATTGTAGTAAGTAAGCTACACGTGTACATTTATTTAAAATAAATACAACATCTTAGCAATGATATCCAATTGGTGATAATACTCATTTAGTGAACATTCATTACATTTATAAAAGTTCACAATCCGAATCATCGTCAGATGAAATTGACAAATCCGAATCATCACTGTCATTATTAACACTTATTATAAAGTTCAGAAACATCAACCAATATAACTTCTCTTTTAAATTAATCACTTTCCACATGTTCACACACTTTCTTCCATTTGTCAGCTGTAATTTTTTCAAATTCGTCATTTTCCAGCTTTCTAAGTAACATCTTCCATTTTAAATGTAACATTTGTTGCTGCTATGCGATTTAAATAAATAAAAAGGCGGTTTATTTATGTTGTAAAGTCTCAAATCTGATAATTTTCTGTGTGATTTGTGCTAACAATTTGATTGACAGCTATAATAAATAATGCGAATCTTGTCTTCCATGCTCAGGGTACCTCTATAAAGGATAGCGCTATACGTAATTAATGTGCCGAAAGTGATGGTAATAGATGGTACGTCCTTTTGAACTATGTTGGGGTATGGCTGTATCTATGTATTTATATATCTATGTTTGTATGGTATTTTGGCGGACCCTGGTGGGTGTACTGTGAACTAAAGCATCAAAATCAGAGTAGCGCCATCTGGTGACCAGCTTCTAAAGTCATGAAGTAATTTCCCAAATTCGATATAAATCATAAATATCGATAAAGAATACACAGTTGTTAAATTAAAGTGTATTTAGATACAATCACATTACATTATTTAACACAGAGAACTTAAATTACATGTTTACAAACTACATATAAAACTCAGAAGTGAGTGGAACTTACGGTTTGTAGATGTTAACACTTTGAAGAAAAATCCTTACATAACGATTTGTCGTACGAAATATTTGGTTTTAATTACTGTTTGGACTACATATTTTTGTTAAAAAATATCGTTTGAACTAAATTGTTTGTTCCAAGAGGTAATAAAACCGTTTCAGCAAATTGTCACACAAGTTTTTGACAACAAATGTTAACTTGATTCTGGTGCTTACTTGTTACTTGAGAAGCGAGGGTGGAAGTTGTTGAATTATGTAAAACGTATTTTGTATTCATTATCTAAAAGGAATTACAATATAAGTATCATTGAATTTATAATAAATTCAATGTAAGTATCTACGTCTATATAAATATAAAACTCAAGTCTACACCCTTTAGCGCCTATACCGTTGGTAATTTATAAATTCCATACCTTGCATAAATAGGAGAGAAATAACAGCACATTTCAATCCTCTTCGCGTTTCAAGCACAAAACAATCTGTTTCAAAATATGGGAAACGATGCCTTTTTGATATTTTATCGTTACAATCCGCCACACAACACTTTTTACGGTCACATAACTTGTTCATATTTTAAATCTTTCAAAAGTCAAAATTGACATGTACGTATAAAATCGACGGTAAAAATATTTCCTGTAACGAGCAAAATTACAGGTTTTGCAAAAAAATATTTGAGTCTGCGATAAATAGTTCTCCGTACAACCACGGGAAACGCTGTAATCAGTGACAATTTAGCGCCATTTATGTTTCTGTTCTGTGAAGGTCTTAAGGTGGGTTCATAGCTCTCCGTTCATCCGTTGCGTTGATCCCTCAAACGGATAGTGCAATTTGTTAAGGTTCATAGCAATCCGTCCATATCGTACGTTTCCAAGGTAGGTATAACCATAACCTAAATTTTATTTTGTACTGTACCCACCGTGATCTTCAGTACGTAGAAACTACTATCAGAGTTAGTCTTTGCTATCAGATTATCACCTCGAAGAACGTAATAGACGAACACTGTTAAATTTGCTCTTAAAAGTCAACAACATAACAAACATAACCTTACTCTTGTTAAAAAACGGACCAACGGAAACGTAAATCTTCAACTTCAACCAACTTTTCCGTAGTTAATGGACGACGTACGGTTTAAAAATTTACTGTGTTCTGATTGGATAACGGATAAACGGAAACGTATGAACGGAGAGCTATGAACCCACCTTTATTCTGTGCCATATACTTCTCAGTTCTCTTATATATATGTCAGTCTGTCACTCAAACCTAACCTACAAAGTGTAATTGTGTAATTTGTACTGGCCACGAAAAATATAATTAAGTTTCATGTTCAAAGTAATTGTGTTATATATCTTTACTACATTGCAATAGGAAATGGGTGGAAAACATAAACAAGCACAAAGAACGAAGAACAATGCTAGGGTTTGTGTTAGAAATTGTAATGAAACCTTTACTATTCCTTTTTCATGTAGCCCTCCAGCAGCTGTAGAAGTGCTGAGCTTTTAGGGACAACCGTACCACAATTTGTGGGTTTTTCGGCTATGAAAGAATCCACAGCAATGTCTGGATTTTCTCTTGCCACCGATGACATGGATGCCTCTATAGATCCAAATTTTCAGCTAGTTTTAAAGAAGATGAGCAAAAAGGATGCCACCACCAAATCAAAGGTTTTAAAATAAACAAGAATAGGCAATTCATTTATTCCTAATTGTGTAGGCACTTCAAGAATTCACTGAACTTATTAAAACATCAGATATTGAAGCAGTGATAGCTGTTTTGCCATTTTGGCCAAGATTGTATTGTGTTTTGGCTACAGATACTGACCATAAAGTACGAGAAGGCACGCATATAGCTCATCATCAAGTCGTACTTAAAAGTAAACGAAATTTGGCGCCATATTTGAAGCAGTTTGCAGGTCCATGGTTTACATCACAATATGACACATATGCACCTGCAGCTAGTGCTGCTACAAAATCATTTCAGGTAGGTAGAATGTAATCTTTATCAAAAGCTGTAGCGACGCAATGGCAAAACTGACGTTTGCCACAGGTCATGGTAATTCAAACTAATTTGTTGGTAGTTAGGTGATTGCCTTATGAAGGAGAGGGAATCAGTGGTAATAATGAATGAAGCAACAATCAAGAGTACAGTATCGACCACAACCAGTGGTGTATTGGTAAATTACGATAGGGGTGTATGCAGGTGTTGTTTTAACCAAGGGCGGAGGCGTAATGGAATGAGTATCCGAGGTGTGTGGGGGGGGCTCCGAGGGACTAAATTTTTTTGTAATTTTTACAAAACATGGTTTTTTTCCTGTTTTTTGAGGTCTGTAGCCTGTAGGTACAACAAAAAAATAAATTAAGAATGCTATTATAATGCTAACAAAACATAACTACAAAAATGTCCGAAACCATACACGTATTAGTAATGAATTGTTAGAAACGTATATGTCTGTATTTTAAATTTTTGTGACATTTCCCAAAGGAATTCGCGTGCAATATCTGAGAAACAAAGAAGGAATAAATTTATGTAAAATTATTGAGTGTGACACATCATTATTTTTCTTTATTTTATAGCATATGTTAAAATGACATTGGGGATTTACGATAATTCAACCGTTTTAACCGGATTGGTAGAAATCATCATAGAAACAATTGTGGCAATAATTGTAACCATAGCAAAATCTACCAACCCGGTTTAATCGGTTGAATTATTGTAAATCCCCGTTTTAATAGGTTTGAATGAGTAGGCTAAGCCGTTCTTTAACCTATAGATAAAGTGATCACTTTAACCGTAAGGGTAAATAAAGTGAAACAAATGATTATGCATTCTGATGACATCTGTCGTTCATATGACAATTGTGTTTCTATGGAAACGATTGGGACGGCAGAACCTAATTTAATATGCTGGCGATATATTTTGAGTATTTTCAAAATGCGACCATCGGTGCCCACATCTTCAACTTGCGTTATCCGAATTGACCACGAACCATTGCCGCCAGCATATTAAATGCTTCTTGGTTAGAAAGCGGCATTTTAGAAAAGATTACAAATTCAAAAAACTGCACTTTCTGAATGTAAACACAGCAGAATAATTTACGGCTGTTATTATTTTATAATGCATCGTGTTTCATTTGTTTAATTTTCCAATGCCTACTTAAAAGTGTAGGGTGCTTTTCCAAACAATCTTTCGCGCCATCGACAAATACCGGAAATACAAGCATTTTTATTAATTAATTAATTAATTAATCTCATTTTCCCAATATTTGAGGTTCGAGATTTTGAAAAACGGTTTTCACTGGCCTCTTAGAATTTTGAGTCATAGTGTTAAAACTAGCCCCCTGGCGGAGAAGAATTCAACTAAATTAACTATATTTTGGTTAATTCTCATTGCCCAAGGAATGCTCTTTTCAACCATACTAAATTTGTTCAAATCGGTGAAACGGTTAAGAAGTTAAAGCAGGTTATTACAAAAACAATTGAACGCCCCACACCATCTTTGTTTTTGAAATAGGTAACTGAGTTTTTGTTTTTACGAAAATGATAGATAAACTGGTTCTCTTTAAAAATGTGAAAACAATTTGTAGATTATTATGCGAAATTTAAAGAAAATCTAATTTTAAAATTTAAAATGGCAGTTACGCCCTTTGTTGGTCAATTTTAGAACTTCGAAATATTTTCCAGCCTTAGTTAGCAGTTCTGTCTCGGGTTCTATTTATGAAGCCGTTTTCGCTTGTGCATGCATTTACCAGCCTGTTGAAGACGCGACATGCTCAAATATTGCTATTGTAATGTAAATTTAATTACGTTGTTTATTTATAACAATTAACAAATTTATAACAGTCTTGAAATTGATTAATTTATAACAATAAAAATATTGTTTATCACTCACGAATACACCATTTATAACAGCGCGACCTATTTATTACTTCGGCATCGAAATTAGAACTGCGCTGCAATGCAATGCTTATATAGCAAACGCCTCCCTTGAAAGATCTCAAGCGCTTTCGCAGGCATCTGACTATTGTAGAATGGTCTCGAACAAACAAGTCATATTTCTCGGAAAGATTACGTCACATCTGCCTTCGTTCTTTATCGCCGATGACTAATCTTGGATGATGCCTTGATATCTATCGGGATTTCTGGAATGTTTGCTACACTATGAAGGGATTGCAAACCAAAAATAAACATATTCAGAGGATGCCGGACAAAAAATCAAAATTGTAGAAGAGTTCAAGTGTTGTGAGAAATATTAGAAGATGTAACGTGTGTTAATTAAAAATTTGTGGCCGCGATGAAACGCGCCGTCAAAGGGGACGCTCCGCTGCTAGGTCCTTTGTCGTGAAATAAAAAATTAATTTTATTAAATAGAAATCCCCTTTTTTTGTGTTCACTGTTTCCACTAAAAAATAGGAACAATTACATCCACATATCTAAAATCAAAAGTTTTCGTAGAAAATGATCCGAATAAAATTAGTTGCACTATTTGTGATATTTTTTATGATTGGATTGGATTTAACAGTACCATCGGGAATCAAATGCTATTGCGTCAAAAAATTAAACACAAATAAATGAATACATTAAATAATGCTCTACATTTTTAGGATGCGTTTCCAAAAAATAAAATCAAGGAAGCTATTGCGTATTGTCAAGAGGAAATCTTATCTTACATTGGTGAAAATCTTACAATTCATACTTCAAGCACCTTAAGTAACCCAAAGATCACATCTCCCGAAGATGCGGAGGCTAAATACCAACGAGTTTTAATATCGAGTCTTCACGGATACACCTTGTACTTGCAACAACTATGCACAGATGAGATTGAGAAGCAAGAAGAATTAAATATGAAAATTATTTCAGACAGTAAGTTTTGGAAGTTTGCCAAAAATAAAGTACTTCCAATTAAATCTGCCTGGTATTGCGTGATATCGTCAATATGTCAAAAATCGCCCACATTTTTGAAAAAAGAGTACGCGCATATTGTTGGAGCTGTTTTTTCTGATTTAGACGAGAGCGAACCCATAGTTGTCCAATCCTTATGGGAAGCAATTCTTTCTGTTTTATCCACAATTGAGGTATTTTAACGCACATCAAATATTTGTATGAACAAATTATCTCTGCAGGAATGGTGGCAGTATGTTAATATTGACAAGCTGGTTTTTCCAAAGTTGTGGAAGTTGTTAAAAGAAGGTGGATTTGGAAATGCTTATGTGATTTTTCCTAATTTACTACCTCTGATTTCACATCTGCCTCCAAGTATTGACCAGAATTCCACTTTTTCCTTATTCTTCGAAAATATGTTTAAAGGGTAAAGTATTACGTATAAAATTTAGTAATGCACGCAAAGGATTTGTATTTTCATTGTGAATTGAAGTCACATATTTAATACAAACACAGGAGCCCATAAATCCAATGGAGAAAAGATCGTAGTTCAGGTCCCAATTTGGCCGATACCCTTGGATGGCGGGGAAACTAATCCTACACAGATTGTTATTGTTCATGAAAACAAGTTATCGGTTTTTGGAGTGCGTACCTCTTTCATATTATTGTCCTCAACTCAATTGAATATTATTAGGTATTGAATTATTTTAACCACCTTCCTATGTCCTGAATTTCCTGGGACGGTCGAAGCTTGTGTAAATTTAGCATGTCTCAGTATTGTCTTCGTTGGAGTGGTAATAATTTGGTCAGGCGAAAATCTTGAACAAACTTATTGGAATACTTACACTGATAGGTCAGACGACGTCAAAATGTTATAGGTCAGCAACAACAAGCACTCACCTGGCTTTTCAATTGCCATTAAAGATGAATTAATTGGGTTTATTCAGCAACAGACCATGAACACGACATCAGCTATCACATGGAATGACAGAAAAGTTTTAACATTAGGCGCTCCCCCTTGCATGGAGTAGGCTTAATATTACTCCATGTCAGCGATTGAAATATAAAACATTGTTTGCACATCAACTTTTTTGCTTTGTTTGCACTACATGAACAATCTTTTAGTGTGACTTCACTTCACAGTTGCAATACAAATCCTTTATAAACAATAATAAGTGGTAAACATAAACCGAAGGTTTGCATTAAGCCAACATTTTGTTTTTGTTCATCATTAATTTTAATGTATTTGTCTGTTTTCAAATTGGGCAATAAAGACATAGTGAAAAAAATCAATAACCAAATCGTGATAATAGTTAGCGTTGTTAGTCTTTGTATGCTTCCTTTTTGTAGTGTGTATTCTCTTATATTTTTCTACATTTTTTTTAGTAATCTTGTTTGTTCAGGATGTCAAATAATTTTCACAGTGCCCTTTTTTATATACAATTGAGGTCAATATAATTTGAAAATACCTTTAATAATTATTATCTTGTTTTCGTCCATGAATTTTGAAATTTATTAGGGCAGTGTTTTTTGCGCCTCACTTACCAAACAATTTCAAAATCATCATTTATTCAAGAAAAACCGTTAAAAACCAATGCAGTTATTTTATACGTTCACTGTCTGAATATTTCCGTAAAATTATTTTAAAAAACGTATTATCACCATTTTTTGGGTAGAATTACGACTAACTAATGTAAAAATAGTAGGTATCCAAATATGTTCTCAAAACACATTTTTGAAAAAATTATGCTACGAATTATTTCGTAGTTTGCATCAGCGATTAAAATTCTTTTTACTGCAGAATAATTCATAATGAAACAATTTGCGCTTTTCATTGATATTTACTTATCTATATGTCTCTCGCGGAAAATCTGTTCTTAAGGTCAAAAATATTGGTCATTCAACTGCGTTAGTGCTGCTTCTCAGGAAAGATAGGCAGTAATGCAAAATATACAGTGCATTTTATTTTTTATTTGGCGAATAATTTGACAAATATAATTTTATATGTGACAATACAATCTATCTGATCGCATATTGGAACTTACAGTATCACACCCGGTTAAATCTGAAATTTATGCAACTTTTGTTTTTCAAATGCAACGCATATGTTATTTTAAGATATTTGAAAAGAGCAATCCATTTGTTGTATGATAACATAAAATATGCATATGGTTGATATACCGGGTGATCAGTTTGAATTTCCCACAAAACTAAACATTTATATTGTTGGTAACAATCAATTTAATGTATCAGAAAACAATAATCACCAAGTTACTAAATTTCACTCTCAGGGTCATGATTTCAAATAGTTTCATGTAACGTCAGAAGCAATAAGGGTACACAAGGAGGTTTACGACACAAAAAGTGCTAACTATATGGAGACTGCAAGCTTTGCTTCAGGCTAGCGGCCTTCGAGCATTACATCCATATGAATTAATGTCTTATTGAATCATCGAATGAACTTCAGAAAACTGGCGGCGATTCACACTTGAAATTTTAAACTTCTCACATCATTTTTCTCTCTGATGTACGTTATCGAGTGATTTAAATTTATTTTTTTTTTCAAAAAATAAAACAAAATTTCGTCTTTAGCATCATCTGATTCTGAGTCAGAACTTAAGGTTAATAATAACAATTGTTTTGTTTATTTATCAATCATTTTCCAATTTGGCGGTTGCGAATAGAGAATGAAATACTGCATCTCAGTGGATCACCGCGTCACGTCACCTCACACGTCCTCTATGTGTCTCAATTTGCGCTTAGCCCTTTCCTTTTATGTACTTACTTTGATTGCTTTGAGACCTGTCTCATAATTATTTCTTGTTCTGCTCAGGTAATATTTTATGAAGCATTTTCCTTGTGGACAATAGCTATTTGTGTATTAAGAGCGCAAAATGGTATACAGGGTGGTGACTTGCGTAATGCACCATAGGGATTTCAATGTAAAATTCGTAACATGCGATTATTGGCTCCCCAAATTATTTTAGAGCAAAAATGTATTAAAGTTTTTTGTAGAAAAAATATTTTACGCCAATCAACCGTATTAGTTTTCAATTTTTTTCATATAAAGACGAAAAATTGGAAAAATTAAACCCGCATTTTTTTCAATAATCTGCGATGCCATGGAATTTTCTAAAACAAAAAGATATCCAGTGATCAATTAGCAGCAGTTCGAAATGGATTTTATGATCGACTTGGTTACTGTCTTGCAGTTAATCGTGACTTATTCGAACATTTATTGTAAATTGTTATATTAGGAAACCGTTTTTAGTAATTTGGTCTTTCTTTATGTTGAATTCTACGAGTAAAAAATAGGAGGAGAGAATATAACGGTGGTGGGAAATAGCATAACATGCGACGGAAGTTGTCATCATATCACTCCCTTTGCGCTGGTCAGTTATGTCGACTTGACATCATAAAACAGAAGAGACGATGTCAGTTTTGTTTTGTTACACCACTGCCAATAATGACGCGTTTCTCCCCACCCTTTTCGCACTTTTATAACTTCCATTTGGTCCATTTCCGTCCCCTTTTAATGCAAGGTTCTCTCCTTTTATTTTTTACTCGTAGTTGTCATTGGACACTGAGCAATGCATATTTAATTTATAGTTAATAATTGGAAGAGCGAGCGGTTTTTTTATTTTGTCGCTTGTGACAAAGTGACATTCCTCGAAAAATATGACGTTTGCGTTGTCAAATACGAGCGCAAATGTCTCTTTTGGATATCGATTGTAGAAAAAGAATGTTTAAGTAAAGTATCATTTACTAATAGACAAACTGTAATACGCAAACTGTGAAACTTGAAGTAGGTCTTCACTAAAGTCGCGTATTCATATAGCGAACGAATTTGACTCATGTGTAGGTACAAGCAATCACAAGCGTACGAATATGTTGCATTCTCTAGTTTTCGCTCACCAGATGGCACATCAAAGAAAATTCGCGAAGAAGTCGTGTGGTATATTTTCTAGTGTGTACTTACAGATGTTCATATTAATATTATTTATATGCACATCGTTTGTTTATCGTTTGTTTACGTTTGTTTAACTATTTTCATCGTTTTTTTACATTTCCGTATGTATTTTTTAAAAATTCAAAATGGGCGAGCTAACTTCACGGTGGCTCGCCCAAAATCATAATTTTGCTTGTTTATCGATGCAGGTCGGTTGTTTACGTTTGTTTAACTATTTTCATCGTTTGTTTACGTTTCCGTATGTCTTTTTTAAAAACTCAAAATGGGCGAACTAACTTCACTGTGGCTCGCCCAAAATCATAATGTTGCTAAGTTTGCAAGTCGTTTATTTATCGTCTGTGGGCGTGTAAACTTTATTGTCATTATATTATTTTTCATCGCAATATGCATCTTTTTAAAAAATGTTAAATGAACAATTAACTTAACAGTGGTGGGGCTAACATTCGCTTATGAACCACTCTACAATTGTAGCAGTAACATACATGCAGTGATTAGGTAAACGTAAAAGGCTCTAATAAATTAGTCACTGTTCTTCAAACAATTCTCTAATTTTCATATTAAAATGTACGATGGTACTTAGAACTGCCTACCGTTTTAATATTAGTTGAGACAGAGCTGGATCGAGTGTTCTAAAAAACCGCTCGAGCGACGAGCGTCCTAATCTCGGTTCTAATTGTCTCAAAAATGCTCGCAAGCATCGAGCTGTTTTGCCAAGCGAAACCGCTTACGGGTTCCGAGCACTGCTAAAAATGCTCGAGTGGTTTATCGCGAGCGCTTGGGAAAAGTGCTCGTGAGCAAAAAAAACGCTCAAGAGTGGAAAAAGCGCTCGGAAACGGAAAAAACGCTCGCGAGCGGCGCTTAATCCTTCAGAGCTTGAGGGCGGTTAAAAGCGCTCACAAGCGAAGGAAAATGCTCATGAGCACGAGCACCGAACATTTTAAGTAAACGCTCGAGTATCGAGCACCAAGCGGCCGCTCCGAAAAGTGCTCGAGGGCGTTTCATTTGTACCAAAAGTGAACTATTATTATAAGTCGGAAGATAAGTCCAGAAACAGGCCATTTTATAACGTATACTGCGTACTGAAACAAGTACCCAGCATGTTTATCGAAAGTACTGCAGACTATTTCCGAGGGCAACTCTAAAGAATTATAATAAATATTGAAAAACGCATTAAATTAGATGTAAGAATGTGGTACAATATTGACAATAGTAGCATTTCCATTGTAGATAACTTCATTGGTCACAATTCAAACACTGCTCAATTAAGTATTTCAATTATGTCAATCAACTGAACACGTACAACTGGCTTATAGTGTTTCATAGATGACTCGATCCATTCTAAAAAATACCATATCACGTCCGGCAAATAGGTCAAGATATATTTCTGTCTCAACTAATATTAAAACGGTAGGCAGTTCTAAGTACCATCATACATTTTAATATGAAAATTAGAGAATTGTTTGAAGAACAGTGACTACATCATTTTCTGTGACGTAATTACTATGCAATAATGCCAAATCTAGTTTTGAGCGATTTAGGTTATGTCACTTGTCAACAAGACAGTGCATTCTTTTTGTGAACAATCCACACCTTAAATAAAATAAAAATAATTTTTATTATTCATTTCGTTAATTGGAACCACAATATACATACAATATACTTTAATAACTTATGAACTGTACAAATGTAGCATCTCTTTTACAGAGAAAGTACTAAATATAAAATTTTACAGGTTATGTGATGTGATGGATGATATTCAAATTAATCGGAATCATCGAAACTGCTTTCGTGTTCAAAGTTTATAATAATAGTAGCAACGTTTTCAAGATCTAATTGCTTTTCTCTTTCGTACCACTCGTGTATTAACAGTTTCCGTATCCTTAACTGAATTGCGCCACGTTTCGGAAGTTATCGATTGTAGTGATTCTTGTCACATCTTTATGCAATTTTCAATGCTTCGTCCATCTCTACCAATGTGTCGATTGTAATAATTTTTCGCTATGCCCCAAATATGTTCGATAGGATTAAAAACACGATGATAGGGTGGTAATCGTAAAACGAAGTAACCGTATTGCTCGGCTAAGTGGTGAATGCCTTATGCGGTACATTTTAGCTGATTTATTCCTAAAAGTATCAACAAGATTTATATAACATCAAATAATTTGCGAACGTACTTACTGTGCAACCTTTTCAACAGTTCGGCTGTAAAATCATTTTCGGAGAACTGCACATTATGATCACCTAACCACACTTTAATGTTGTCTGTTTTTCCCGTTATCGAACACAATTACTGACGGGTTATCTAATTTCTCTTCAAACCAATGCACAGCGAAAGACGTAGAAAATAATCAAAATCAAATCAAACGAAAAGTAAACCAAAAGCAACCTGTCAAATTTACAAATTTAAATGCGACAACATAGCGAAATGCTACCAATTGTTGCGGCTAAAATAAACTACATGCTTAATGTGTTGCCTAATAAACGAAAGTAAGTTTACGTTGGTACGTCGTTTTCTTCAGGTAATGACGTGCAACGGAAGATATACTGAATAGACCGTAATTTATTAGCGCCTTTTACGTTTACCTAACCACTGCATGTATGTTACTGCTACAATTGTAGAGTGGTTCATAAGTGAATTTTAGCCCCACCACTGTTAAGTTAATTGTTCATTTAACATTTTTTAAAAAGATGCATATTGCGATGAAAAATAATATAATGACAATAAAGTTTACGTGCCCACAGACGAAATGACCTGCAACAAATGATTTTGGGTCAGAC